CTGATTTCACAAAACAAACTCCCTTAGGACAATACACCATAAAAGACTCATGACCTATGTGAATTATCAGTCCAACCATCAGCCATTAAGGTACTCCAACATTTTCCCAAATCTTTTTGTAACTATCCACAGAAGCTGCACTTCCTTCTTAGCATCTCTTAACAAATTGATACGCAAAGCTGATAATTTGGGTGTTTATACCCAGGCTGCAGCTATAGCATCCACCAAAGGTTAAGATAAATTGAATTCACAGCATTGATTGGGATGCAAGCATCATAAAGAATCTTCCAAAAGCCATGTCTGCTCTCCAAGCGCATCTTTTCCAGCTAAACAACTCCTAATTGTGGTTGAATCCACCAATTGTCCTTGGAGCAAAATAGTCACCAACCCCAATAGATTTGTTTCTCTTTGATTTGTCTAACATTGTACTTCGTTTTTTACTACCAAACCTACCTTCATTTATGTCAATTCCTAATGGACAAAACTCTCACTATCTTCAGTTAATATATCTCCCTCAAATCCATGTACGGAGCACCGTAGGGAGTATTAACTTACTAGAATCAGTCTTCTCCTTATTCTTTATCCCAATGTCTTTTAGTGATTCTCTCATGGAGTATTGAACATCAAAATGAACTTTTTTACAAGCACCAACATCCCCCTTTGTCCACGTAGATGTATTTTCATTCTAAAAATACCCCCTCCTCTAGTTACTTTCCCACAGTGAAGACATCTTAATGTCTTCCTTCCATTTGGTTCTACACTCTCAACATGTGCCCATGTTATATCATCCTACCTCTACTAGATTGTGAAGAAGACCCGAGCCAGATGCTGCCATTGTCTATTTTTAATCTTATCTGCCTATCACACAATAAAATTGCACAAAAGAATCACATAATCACGTATTGTGTTTGCATTTGAATTTTGTAAAACAGTAAAAACAAACACCCCAGGGCTCAGAATGACCATGCATGCAGTACTATTCATCCATAAAGCACCAAAAAATGACTGTATTCAATAATAATGACTTCTGTGTTGGTAAACCAAAGCAAAGAGGCATTTTATTTATGAATTGATTTGTACAAACAATGGTTAAACTATTCTTATAATTATGCTCTTCTGTGTCTTATTTTTAAGCAATAATCATTAACTACTTTGAACCATCAGCAATGACATCAATTCACAGCTGTGGACAGTGAAGACAGTGAGATTGATCACTTGATATCGATCATCACCATAAAACCAGAGAGAAATTAAACACTACTTAACTAAATAACATTATTATTTTTCTCAATTAGATCCTGATTCTAAACACTATTTTAGGCTCTACTATCTTATAACACCCCTCTAGTCGGTACTCTCTAAGTTTTATACTTCAAATTACCAACCTTTTAAACATGAATTCTCTAATTCTCGTCATAGGATACTTAGAGATCCTCTTGAAGATAGATAAAATGGACTACATTGTATACACCAATATGAAACATTCATATACATACTACCATAATAAAACCTTAATTAAAGATTAATGAAGCATCAGTAGACTAATATAGTTTGTCAAAGTCTAAGCAGTAGTTAATTGTGTTTTTATAGTCTAAAGCATTAGCATAATAAGATATGGGTCAAAACTTCATGACACAAATAACCAAGGTTGAGAATTCCAATCAGTAAGGAAGTAAACATTCACAACATAATCAAAATAAGTCGTACATTTGATTAGAAAGGAAAACATAACAAAATATAGATTCACTTCTATCAGAAGGAGAAGAATATTTCGGGACATAAACCAAAGTGAGTCATATTTGAATGAGAAACCTAACAATATAGTTCACTTACAGGATTAATATAGTACTTCTGAAACAAACCAAATACAAAGTTATTGAAACATAATAAAAAAGAGTCATTTCCAACACAGAAACCAAATTCTAGTTCTAACAATTTCTTGCCATCCGAAGTAGTTTATGTCAGCCAACAATGTCATTAACAATTTCGTGCCATCCGAGATGATTTGATCATTTACATATTCATGGACCAATTAATTCAATATACACATAGACATAATTAATTTGATTTTAGTTGAAATAAAATAATACAACTAGCGGTGGATTTTGATTAATATATTCCAGAGACCTTCCTTCCAATTTCGAAGATCACCCTCTCACAAATCTGCCCAGATTACAACAAGAAAGACCCCAGCAAAAAGCCCCAAATCAATTGCTCATTCAACACAAAAGAACCCTAACAATTTCAGACTAAAATGTAAGGAGTGATGATGACGTACCTGGATCGAGGAATGGAGCTATCGTCAACAAATGAAGCTATCGCCGTCGATTTCCAGCGAGGAACGGAGCTGCCGTCGTCGATTTCCGGCGAAGGAGGAAGACATCGTCGATTTCACAGAGTTCAAACGCGATTTGGGTGGGATTTCAGAGAGAACAGAAGACAGAGTTGAAACCGTTACAATCTTCGCAAAGAACTAAGAGTTTGTTTAGAAATTTTCGTGAGGAAAATGGAGAAAGAGAAGAACTGAAGATTGAAGATTGAAGAAGACGAGAGAGGGGCGTGAGAAGAGAAGACTGAATCGCGTTAAGGATTTAGGTTTTTAAATGGACCGGTTTTTCTGCCGGTCCGGTTGGACCGACGGTTTAGTGATAATATCCGGTTTTTAACCGGTTTAAAGCGGTTTAATGTTTATAATGGTTTTGAGAGTGAACCGAACCGGACAGGTGACCGGTTCACAGTTCAACCGGTTGAACCGGCCGGTCCAGTCCGGTTTTTAAAACAGTGCTTTTTTTTAGATCCTAGGTTTAAATTATCCGTAGTTAACGGTGTAATTACTGAGTTAGACCATTATTTAGAACATGATTATACGTCTTATTTGACTGACTTTAAACACAAATTGGATAAGCTTTTTTCTTTATATGAGAACAGGTATAATGGAAGTGGAAGTGGAAGTGGAACATCTAGGAGAGGCGATCAGGACCTTGATGCAGCCCCCCCTCAAGGATCGAGCAAGTGGGCGTATGTGGAACGTGACGCAAGCTCTAGCTCCAGCTCGTACATACATAGACCAAATGAGATGACTCGCTACCTATAGGTGAACCTGACCTTTATGACGATGAAGGAGCAACTTGACGTGGATATTCTTCAATGGTGGAACTAACATGAAAGTCGATTCCCCATTATATCCCAAATGGCACGTGACATTTTATCTGTGTCGGTTTCTACAATTGCATCCAAGTCAACATTTTCAACGAGTGATCGGATTGTTGAAGACAGAAGATGTTCTTTAACCGATGAGATGATTGAAGTGATAACATGTTTACAGGATTTGACTCATGCAGAAAGAAGACTACAACAGCACCTTGAAGATCCCTAACTACTCGAACTCTTTAGGAATACAGATTTGAATAATGTAACTAGTGTTGACGATGAAATTGAAGATGAATAATTTAATAAAAAAAATTATTTAATTGTTATTTGTAAAGCGTGAATGTGTGAAATGTGAATATTATATTTATGTTAAAAATTAAAATTAACTATTAATTTATTATTTTAGAAACTTACTAATCAACCCCTAAAAAATACTAAAAACCCCCTATAAAATTTCGTTTTGCCCCCAAAATATAAAAATAATTAAGGGGGGAAAAAAAATTATCCAAGCCCCATGGGACCAGTCCCGACCAGGCCTAAGGCCTGGTCCGAGTCCTGGTTTTTCTCATGGGCTTGGGATCGGTCACAGGCCCATGAGTGACTGGTCCCATTTGGGACCAGTCCCAAACGGGCCTAGGCTTGGGCTCGCAAGGGACCGGTCCCTTGCCCACCTCTAGTATAATACTTCCTGATCATACTAAGTTCAGAGGTATTAATACTTCCTGATCATACAGACTTTGTTAGTCTCCTAGGGGTGCATGAAACACACATAGGTAAAGCACTCATGACAGTGTTTTGGGACGTTAGTATCTGGGTCCTTGTATCAGGAAAAATTGAACAACATGCAAACAACAGTAGGCTGGGAAACCTAGCTCAAGTGCCAAGCTCATACAGAGAATTTCAAACTTTTTAAAAGCTTAATTTTTGTGCTGTCAAGTGAATGCGTTATATCAATACCTAAGTCATTATAAGATCCAACCAACAAGCTTACCAGCCACCATGCCTCGAAAAATAATCATTATCCAGAGATATAGCTAAAGCAACAGTTACAGCTCTCTCCAACAGGTTTAAAGGACAAGCAACTTCCAACTCTTGAATCTGCCAAGGGCAAAAATATCGTATTAATGGATTTAAAATACAGGAGAATCATTTTTCTGGTGCGGTGCTTACGACTCAGCAGGGCCAGTCTTGGACTAGGAATCAGCATTCCCAAAACGGATCAAATATTGACCAGCATCCGTAAAGATCTGATTTACATTGAGGGAAAAAATATTAAAACAAAAAAATGATATCACAACATACTATATTGGAAACAAATTCAGTGAGCAAATCATTCCAAGTAGAACAAGACAAAAACAAAAACATGTACACTCCAAAACTTGTCTCTTTAAAGTGTAATAATTTTAAACCAAACAAATTATATACAGTTATGACAATATAAGGAGAGAAAAAACAATGTTTAAAGGCCAGCATGTAATTAATGGTATAACGTCTTAGAAGGAAAGGAGTGAACCTCAAAACTGAAACCTCTCTAATCATGATCTATCTCAGCCAACACTTCCCCATTTATATCCTTCAAAGTAAATGTCCAATTCTAGAAGCCCGGATTTTCAACAACTGCAAACTACTTGTTCCTACAAATAACACGATAAAAAACTTTAACGATTTAGATGATGCAGAATAAAATTAAAAAAATGAATTGAAATCTTGCACATGAAGACAGCCAAATAGTTCAGCATGAAAGTCCAATAAGAAAGGTCAGAAGTGGGAACATTTATTGGTCACGTAGACAAAGCCTGAACTTTCCATTGGTTGGGGCAGTAACAAAGGACTGAAAATGTTAATATACTCGAGGTATAAATCATAAACCCTCCTCCACAGATGCCATCCTCTGTGAACCACACCAATTTCCTAGTGAGGAGGAAATACAGGCATCATAAATAACCGAAATGCAGTATAGATATTTGAAATTTCTTAAACCATCGCAATACCGAACTGTTTAATTCACATACCTTACGTTAATTTCAGCATAAATTGAACTGGTTATCCACCAGAAAGGCCTACAAACCTGAATGTCGTAAAACAAAACCTTAAAGCTGAAACAGCAATTTATCAAAAACTAAGCACCTAGTGACTTGTTGCACCAGTTCAAAAATAAATATGCACAAAGTCCTCACCCTGGAAAGTTCATTACACATAACATCAGTTATGTAAGCAAAAGGGTGCCTCAGGCGAAGCAACTGCAGAAAATAGCAGAAAGCATCAGCATATGAGATTTCCATTACATAAACTAATCAATTCCAAACAAGACTATCAAGTTTATCCAGTAGTATTCATCTTAAAGCTAACAATGAAGTTGCTATATATGACTCCATGAATAGTGCAGTCAAGAAACAATAAAGTTTACCAGCATGCTCAAGCTCATAAAAATGTTTAAACTTATGATGTAACATATTTATGACCCAAACACAAAACTCTGGGCCTGTCTACCACTATGCCATGTATATTAACATGAATCACTTGCTATTCGATTTCTTGGCTGCAACCCATGTAGGTATTCCCTTATTCCTGAAAATTCACACATACTCTAGCACCCATAAACACCAGGTAAGATGAGGCAAACACATCAGGCAGTTTATTAGACTGTTACACTAAAAAGCTTTTCTGTTTATAACTTTAATTCGATATTTAAGAGTTCAAAAGGATAGGAGGAAACATATTGGGTACTTACTGATTGAGGATAGCATACATCTACTACTGCGTAATGGTTCTCCTAAAATGCCAAAACAAGTAATTAGCAATAAAGGCACAGATATGACTCTAGAACACTAAAAGAAAATAAAAGGACTATGCTAGAAAAATTCAAAGTAATAAGGGGGACAATCAAGTCAAACCAACACTTATTTCATTATTGAACCATGAGTAAAGCTCAAAATCACAAATCAATCACTAAAATCAAACAGCACAACAGACAAGCAAAATACAATGACATGCAAGAAAAACAGACAAGCAAAATACAATGACATGCAAGAATCAGCTCATAGGAGTCTTAAAACTCATTTTACCAAAATGAGAATTTCTTAAATTCCAAGTGAACCATTAACCAACCAGCCATATGACCAGGTATATGGGTTCTTGACATAAGTGCCAATATCAAATTTAATTCCGAACTCAAAAAAAATATGTATATAAAACACAAAATGAAAAATAAGTAACAACACAGATAAAATACTTGTATGATTCAAGGGCAACCATGGGTGCAAACAAGAATCAAACAGATCTCAAAATAAAAATTGAAATATAGCTTTCCATACAAGAAGACCGTTGAAGAAAAATTTCCATGTTTGCTTCAGTAAAAAATCACATAATTTCCAAGAAGTATTTGATCTAATACTTCATTCTAAAGTTAAAAGTAAACAACGCAAATGAACATCGTGGTACTTCAAATGCCTTCTATTTAATTTATGTAATACCAATGATAGTAGAGTTTCTATCCAAAAAAGAAAAGTGGGCATTTTAAGCAATCTTAAATTTGAGGTATAACACTATATGCCATGAAATTATATAAGGGATGGAAGGAAGGATAGAAAGAAAGAAAGGAAAAACTAGTAGGGGAAAATCTCACCTTCTCAAAACCAAGTACAAGATTGGCCCACTCAATGTCCCTGTTAATCAGCAAATTGAACCTTGCAAGAAGAGATGCAACCAGGACCTAAAATAATCAAGAAATGATAAATAATATAGTTAGGTATACTTACAGACTAGAAAATGTAAAATTTTAATGAGTTGAACCCAGATGAACAATTACAGACGCTAGAAAGTGAATGGCAGTATACTGCTTACTTGTACTTGACAATTAGTACTCATGAAGAAACCATGCTTAAGCAAAATTATACAAATACGTAGAATCATGCATGCACGCATATGCACTAATAAAGTTACACACTCTTGACCACAACCAAGCTTCTCATTACATTAATAAGATCCACAGAGCATGTATATGATGGCCATTTATCCAAACGTTGTAAGGTTAAAAACACTCTTGACCATAACCAAGCTTCCCATTTGTAATATAATAAGACACAACCCACTTATAGAGCGTCTCTTTATCTCAATACAGTAACTGAACCATAGAGCTATTCAAACTCAAGAATCACCTAAATTTGGTGTCATTAATGTTGGTCTGGCAACTCAAATCAAGAGATGACTTTTTCATTGATTTATAACCTATTAAACTACCAACAAAGGCACCCAGGCACAGAATTGTCAAATTATTGACCATGAGTCTGATTAAGATGAGCTTTGCCACAACAACGAAATCAACAAATTTGGTCCCAACTACAGGCCCTAAATCAACGTCACGTAACACTTAATAGAACCAAACAGATAATCTGTGTATGTCAAAGCCCATATTAACATAATGCTCCCCACCCCTCCAACCCCTACATTTCCCCAGTGGCAAAACTGAAAACGCAAACACAGGCACATGATTTCTATTAAAGGATTTACCTAGTTAAATAAAGAACATGTGATTAAAAACTGAATCAGGATGCATTGCTAAACATAAAAACAAACAGAGGTTTTTAACCATCACAATGTAATGATGGAATAACTGTAATGATTATAAATTTAATAAGCTGATTGCAAGACATGTTCATCCAAGGAACAAAAGAGCATTCACACTGTATAAAGTAACCATAACAAATCAAGCAATACAATCATCTAACAACAACTTTAAAGCATAAGAAAAACAAATTCACCTCCTCCGGGGATCCAGGTTCCAGAAAACCAGTGACAGGCTGACTGACTGGAGGTTGACGGAGAACTGGTTTACCCTGCTCATAAGGATTTTCTTCTGGGACAGCAGAACCTGAAAACCATCTTCCCTGCGGCCTAGCATCAGAAACTGGTTCACCATAATTCTCACTCGTAAAAACTTTTCTTCTTCTTTTTTACTCTAGACTTTTCCAGTTTATTATCAGCAACCCATAACTGTGCAAGAAAATCTCTGTCCAGCTGAACCGCATTACCACTGCTTCCAAAGAATCGTTTTAACTGCACAGAGTTTCACTTAAACCTCCCTAAAACATCTCTCCTTATAATCGAATCAACAAAAAACCCTGCTTCTGCTCAAAAAATCTTGTTTCCAAGCATTCCCTATCAAAGACTCCAACTTTTGCAGAGTTACAAATACCCTTTTGCTGTCTATTTACATTACAGCAAAATGCAGAAACTTTCTCAATGGTTTTACCAATCTTGGAAAAAGAACGAAACCCCATTGCCCCGTTGACCTGAGAAACAAAAACAATAAACAAACATAACCTATGCAATTTTCCCATTTCTTTATTTAAGTAAATAAATAATAAAAAATGAAACCATTGTCGCAATAAGAGTAAAAAAGAGTAGAAATGAAGTGAAGGCTGACCAGTGAGCAGTCTCTTTCTGGGTTCTTCTTCAACTCTCTTTTTCTTTTTCTTTTTCTCGCGTTGAATCGGAGCTTGAAAGAGACAGTTTTTCTGGGTTGAAAGATAATTGTTCGTTTCAGGTATTCGCTACTACCTATACCTGATAGTTGGGTCACTAGGAGAGAGCGCAGGTAAATACTAGCCCCTGAGTTTTGAAAATTTAACACTTAGGTCCAATAAAACTAGAAAAACCAACTATCGTCCCTGGCAGTGGCAGTGGCAGTAGCAGAGTGTGGGCCCTTGTTATAATGTGTGTCAGTGGCGCCGTTAAGTTATTGTGGCTTTAATTGAATTCGTTTGATGTGCTTTGAGGATTGAGATTCATTTGTGTTATGGTGTTTAGTTTTTGATTGATGGATTGTGAAATGTTGATGTTTGGAGTGTATTCTCAAGTGGGGTTATCCTAAAATTTTGGTTAGGTGAACGGGATTCTCAAGTTGGGATTTGGGATTGTTTCTAGAAAGCACTTTTGAGAAATGTACTTATTGCAGAAGCACTTATTAATTTTCTTTGTTTTAATTCATCTAATGCTTCTCAAGGTATTGCAACTGCTGTCTTGATTGCAAAATGTGTTTTTATCTAATTCAAACTCACTCTATAATATTCATACAAAGTGCTTTTGCTTCTTCTTTTCTTCATGCTTTTGCTCAATTAATTAGTTTATGAAAAATATGTCGTCTGTAACCTTTTTAAATAAACGATTTTTCGATAAGTTATAGCTAAGAAGAATAATGCAAAATGGCCTACCAAATTAACTATGCAGTTGTAATTAACATTTAAGCTTTACATGACTCTGTAAGATAATTAACTGTCCTTACAATTCTATTTTTCCAGCTTCATTACTTTCCATTTCAATCAGCCTGTGGAGAAGGTTATAATTTTTGGAGATCTCAAGTGCTTCAAGCTTAGAGATCCTTTGAGCTTGAGGGATTCATTAATGGGGAGAGACCTTGTCCTCCTTCAAAGCAGTCAAGGTTGAAGACTCGTCTAGTCTAGTAATTAAAACAATCTAATTCAGACTATTTTTCGTGGAAGAGAATTGATTAACTTTTAGTCAATTGGTTGTTTTCTTCAATATCATAATCTAAGTTTGGTCATGTAGCAAGTGATGAACTTCATTTGATGTTTAGAATACACTTCAGCATCGTTTTAGTGCAAAATCCAAGGCTAGAGCTATAGATACAATCTTCTGAAAAAGAATCATTCAGTATCAATGAATACGTTCTTAAAATGGAAAACTATACAGAAATATATATTCATAAATTGAATATTGTAGCTTCTTTTGCTATGGTAGGGTTATGATTTTCAGTTGTTCACATGGGGTCTGAGCGATATGAGAATTATTGAGAATGCATGTGAACATGAAGCTCTACGTTTCGAACCAGATTAATAAAACAAAGAGGAAACTATTGATAAGAAAAATTGGGAAACAGAACAAAAGGTCCTTACTACTGTATGATAAAACGACTCTGTTGGCTTAAGTAAACTAACAGGGCTTGAACTTCTGTTAACAAATAACACTCAATTTAACCTCATTGTAACAAGCGTTAACAACCTTAACATACTTTGACTGGACCAATTCTGGAACTGCTTCTTTATTCCAGATTTATTTTTGATATATTTTGATCTTGCTGCAGATTCCTTGATCTTCTATACTCCATTCCGTAACATCCTTTAAAACTGGAAGCTTTGAATATGAATCTGGGACTGGAACTGGAAAGAAAACAGAGCTCTCTGTCATGAACTGAAAACTGGAAACTTGGAATAATCGGGAA